TACTTTATCTCACAAAACACGTTGGCTGCTCCCCAGGCCCCTCCTGGAGCCCTCAAACAATGTTTGCCCACTGTATCCACCCCTCCTTACCAGATGCCTACAGGCCAGATAGTCGCTAATTCCAGTCTTAAAGATACTCTGCATGAAAACCCAAAGCACAACCAAAAACTCTTAAAACATTTAATAACCGAAGGAGACAAAACCCTCCGGGAAAACACACTTCTGCAGGGAAAAAGGAGACCACAGTGGTCCATGAGGCCAGAAATGAGTAAGGAAGAAAGGTAGGCTCAGTCCCTCCACTGCCTGGACCCCAGAGCCAAGCTGGGGCTGGGCATGGGGAGACTGACCCAGCCCCAGGAATCAGAGCTGTATGGAGACATGAGCATCCTGAAGGATCCACCACCTGATCTTCTGCCCAGCCTGCTTCTAGGTGAGACACTTTGCAAGCGCAAGTCCCTGGGTGACAGCTGAGCATCATTTCTGATCATGGGTCCGGTCCCACAAGAACACCAGCAGCTTGCCTTGGCCCTGCTGGAATTGCTCCAGGGATGGGACTAAACAGCCGCTATAACCCACGTCTCAGGACCATTGCTCCGGCTGCACTAAGAACACCCGAAGTTCATGGACAAGCAAAGTATCAGTGGAGACAACTCAGCCCTTGGTGGTGTCCAGAGATCCCCTCTCTCCATCCCTCTCTTCTTCATCTGCCTGGGTGACTGCACAGGACCAGGGAACTCACTAGCAGTTAAATAGCATGCTGCCTCCTGGCCTGGTTTTACTTACTGGCACAGACATAGGACTGCTATGAGGTTTTGCAATGATTTTCCAGGTTAATTAATGCGAGAAAGGATTTACACAGCTTAGAAAAAACGTTCCTTATGAGCAAGAAGTGTTCCTGTTATAGGTGTGACCCAAAGATGTAAACCAGGTTTGATCACTGGAGGAAAAAAAAAAAAAAAAGAGGATGTAAAACTGATACTTTTCTTGGTTTTTAGAGCCATCAAGTAGAAAAACGGTTGCAATAGCTGTTTTTGAATAAAAAGCTGCTCAGCACAGGCTAGATTTGTGCTGACAACAGTGGTGTTGGCACTTTCTTGCAGTTATTGTTCTTATCACCTGTAGTTTTCACAACCACGTTTCTTTTCTTGCCCGGAAATCAAGATTATCAGGTTTTTTTTCTCAAAGTACTCATGGGTTGTTAAAATGTAAGCAGTTTCGTCCCTGGGGGAGGGAGTAAATAACCTAACAAAATCTCATCATCATCAGTTAAAGACAAAAAAACAGTAGTTTCTCTTAGTCCTTCTCAAGGGACTGAGGCTGGATCTCTTCTGTAAGATATCTCCCTTCTGGAGTCCAACATTTTGAATTTCCCATGGAAAAAAATAGTTCTGCTCCTTTCCCATGAGGGCTGTTTTCTCAGTCAGGGAGGATTTCTCCTCCAGCACCAAAGTTCTCCCTTTCTCTCTCTCCCCCACCCCTCCAACACATTATACCTGTATGTAACTCCTCACTCTGCTCTCGGAAATTGCTTTTTCATTATTCACGTGTAGTCACAGGATACGCGTCCCTGTCCGCCCAGATTGCTCCTCATTACATTTCTCTCCACCTGTCAGTAGCTCTTTGGTATTCAGCTGTCCCAGAGCTGAACTTGGCCCAGCCACGGAGCCCACAAATGCCACGTAAAGGGACTGCGGAAATTAAACTTCAGACCCCTGCTCTGACACGGAGGCATTTGAAACACAGCGGCGTCACATCTGTCTCTCTGCAGCATTGTACCATAGAAACATTTCAAGTTCAGCCCAATAACATCTTCAAATAGCACCCAAAAGCGACGGTGCCTTTTCCAGGCACTGGCAGACAGCCCTGGCCAGGACGGGCGTGATTCACGTGTGACTGCTGGAGGTGCCCGTTTTAGGCACTTGTCTTGTTCACTTCCAGCTCCTAATGATCATCTCGGGGCACTCATTCTCTCAGCCATCCCCACCCTTTACGGAGCTATCAAGTGCAACAGAAAACATCGGCTCCTGAACACACGATGGCTGACTCACAAGATGCCAAGACATTTCTGAAGTGCTGGAAATGCTCCTGCAGCAAATACGCGAGTGATGCAGTCGCATTGCTTTAGAAACAGGCGTCAGACCAGCTACTGAAATAGAAAGGAGACAAGGACCAGAGGATGTAAATAGGAGATAAACTACTTTGGCAAGGAAATGAACATTGGAAGAGGCAGATATCGGCTCTCCCCATCAGTGTCTTTTTTTCTCATAGATGATGACCCATACTTGTAGGTCAACATCTGAAAAAAAAAAAACCCAAACCCAAGGGGGAAAAGTTGAACAGGTTGAAAGAGGAAGCTGCTTTTAAACCACAGCTCACACACAAGGAAATGAGCTACATCGAGCACAAGCTGCTTTCTGAAGATGATGGGTTTGGATGCAAGAACAAAGAAACGTGCGTGCAGCCTGCAGCAAAGAGCGCTCCATTCCCCGCTGTGACTTTGCAGTGTGAATAAGAAGTAGGTTGCTACTTGCCAGTGAAAGATTGACAAAAATCAGCCTCAATATTTGTCCTCCTAACAAGCACCCCTGCACACCCAGCCACAATGGAAAAGGAAACCTTTCTTTCAGGAGCTACTAGAAAAACATTCCAATTTTTTTTGCCTAGAAAGGGAATCTGTGAAAAGAGTCTTTCTGTCATTATCCACTGGAGCATCCAAACCTGTCTGCAGCAGTGAGAAATGGAAGTATGCTGAAGTTCCAGAATATATTCTCTCTTTGATTCCGCTCAGCATTTCCAACAGAGCAGTTTTCAGCCTTCAAGTGCATTCCAGGTTGCTTCCCCAAGTCTTGAATCTCCTGTACAGAATGCAGGAGGTCCTGTTATCATTAGCCAACCCAAGAAGTTGAAGTGCTTGAGAAACAGGAACAGAGAGAGGGAAGAAAAATACTGCACATCTAATGAAACTCATCCATCATGCCCTGTTCTGTGAGAGAGCTGGCACCGAGTCAGATAAGAGAAATTAAATTAAAATGCACATAAAACACCACTAGGAGACTGGGTGCGATGATAGCTGGAACGGCAGCATTACGCAGTGCTGCATTGCAATGTTTTCACCTTCTACAGTCAGCCAATGAAAGCATCACTGGGGAATAAGAGGAGAATGTTAAATCAAAGGCCTGAAAGCTGAATGGGTTTAATAAAATGTGTATTCACATTAACCACTGACTTAAAGGTGAAACCCTGCTCTCGAATATACTTGACAGATCACTTTTTTACTTCTTTGCCAATGCGTATCAATCCTGACCTGGAAAGATATGAACCTGGTCCCGGCTTGACAGCTCTATCAGAGCTTACCTTGCTGCAAGCGCAGAGGAGACACCTTCATCCCCTTCCTTTGCCTTCATCACATAAACAGCTAGAAAGTCTAAGGTGGGGCCTCCACCCTTTCCTCCCTAAAATTACCAACTGGCAACTTTTTCCAGCCATAGGAAAACATCCGTGCTGCTCAGACGTGACCCCTAGAGGAAAAGGTTTCACGATTAACCTCAGCCTGGGACCTGCCCCTGCCTTCGCGCCGCAGGCTGGCCGTGCTCCAAGCCAGTTACCCCCACCGAGAGGCTGGCGCGTCCCAGCTGCGCTGCGCAGACAGCACAGGAGCCGGTTTAGCCAAGCTGGCGGAGAGTCGGAGCACCCTGCTTGCAGCAGCGCTGCTCCATTCCAGATCGTTCATCCTGTTATAATAAGACACAGGAAATGTCTCTTTTGAGCTGCAATCCAATTAGTCTCCAAATAAAGCTGCCCCAACAGGCTCTCTGCAGAGCACTTCATGGCTCCTATCTGATGCTCTTACGTCAGCAGCCGGCACTTAATAATGAAGAACTACTTATGCCCTTTTCCTGATAAGGTTTCCTGAGCAGCAGACTTGCAGTTCACTTAATCCTGCTATCCACCAGGCCACCACACTCCCCAGTTCAATACATGAACCTGTTGGCTTCTGAACACACTGAGGGAATTATAGCCCAAGGCTTGCAAATCTCCCTGGCATATGAGAAAGGCATAAGCAGCTGGTATCACCCCTGACTAAAATAGCATCGCAAAAGGCATCCTGTCCTCCCCTTCAAGGATACAATTAAAAAGCTATCTCGGATACATCAGCTCTTGTCAGCCACCACCCACCTTCACACGTCCTACTCCTTGGTCAGATCACCGCAAAAATAGCCAAAATCTATCAGGCCAAGCTCACCTACCAGAAGCCAATATCCAAACCTGGAGCGACGGAGCCATGCCATGACTCAGAGCTAAGGCAGCGGATGGGGACGGATGATCAGCACCGGCTGATGGGCAGAGAAGAAGCATCTGTTCTTGCTCTCCTGGGCTACCAGCAGCACTGAGAGTCGTCTCTCCCCAGCAGAGCAAGACAAAGGTAGAGTAACAAGCCCCTCCAGCCCAACTAGCAGGGTCGGGAGAACAGACCTGAATGGAAAAGAGTCTGGGACATGATCCGTACTAGTCTGCATTTCCTACTGAAGAGCAGAGAGACCCTCCCACCCCAGGAAGCTGCGGGTCTGCAGACACTCTGCCACCTTTGTGTGATGCACAAAGATCACGAACGAACCCTACAGCTCAGAGGCCTCCGGGGTATCTGCAGCAGCTTCTCTGCCCATGACACCTGGACCCCAAACAGCCTGCTAACACGCAAGCCTGGCTGGGGTCAGGTGTTTAGTGACTCTGAACAAGTCATTTGCAAACCTTCTGCCATTCAGGGACATGGCATAACCGTACCACTTGCCAGAGTGCACTAAAGTCAGGGCCACACAGCAAGGCCACAAATGTCAACAAGGCTTTTGCACAGGGGATTTTATTCAAAATGCAGATTGCAAATAAATTTAGAAGCAGATGCAGCAAGGCTTCCATGGAAACAGCACAAAAACCCAGCTGTGGTTTGGATGACTCTGAGTCTTGGCAGTCTTGACTAATCCCTTAAGTGCCATCCAATTACTGCAAATGTGTTTGGCATCTACTGTAGCAATTGCAAAGAATTAAATGGTTGGATGGCACTCATCAGAAATTACAAGTCACAGATCCCTGTAATGCTTTTAAGAAAAAACATCTAAAAAGGAAAATAGCATTACCCACTGCAAGAGCTGACCTCCTTGAGAGCCATAAGGGACAACAAAAGGGATCCAAGTAACGAGGGAAACTTAATTCAGAGAAGAAACTAGAAAAAATGAGAGAAAGAGGAAGAATAACAAGATTGGCTGAAGGAGCTGGGTTTGTTTAGCCTTGAGAAGAGAAAACTCTCCTTACACCTCCTTATTCTTAGCACAGCTTCTACAATTAACACTCCTTCCCTTAGGAAAGTCATCAAAAAACTACAAACAGCTCTTCCATGCCCAGACTTACCAAGTATGATCTGCCTGTAGAGATCTCCAGGTGCCTCGGAACACGTAGGACTTCAGTGTGAAATGGAGGTCTGGAGAATGGAGAAGTGAGGATGGGCAGCAAGACCACAACTGCTGGTATACATATGTACTGTGCCCAGCTGCTCCACAGGAGCTGCTCTCTTGCCTGAAGCTCTTCAAAGGCATGACCTCTCTCAGACCAGCATATTCTGCTTTCCAGGTACTTAATTCCTCATAAAGGTCCTTCCACACAGGGACATGCAAAGAAGAACAAGCTTGTTCTGCCAAAATCTGGACTCAGTGATTGAGAGCAGCCCCAGAGACTTGTTATGCTACCTGGGAAAGGGTACAGCAAAATGCTCAAACCACCTTCAGCCAACAAGTGCAATACACAGGCTTCTCTTGCAAGAATTTATTTTCAAAGAAGATGCAATTAAAAACACTACCAAAAAAGATTTACACAAAGCGGGGGGCGGGGGGGGGTGGGGGTGTGACAGTAAAGCCATTCAGACCAGGCAAAGCACATTTCTTTCCAAACAGTACAGAGCTGTTATGACAAAAAGCCTGACACAGCTGGTTTTTTCATTCAGGCAGTAATTTCCTTTCTGAGCTCTCACCTAGGAAGTCTCATTTCCTCAATCCCTGGCACTTGTAAGCGGATTTGGAGTGACTCACTCTACGTATGTAGCTCCAAGGAACTCCACAACCAGCCAGGGGGGAGAGAGAAAGAAATTCAAGCCGGAAAAATGGCTGCAGCTGCTGACTGAGCTGGATGGCAGCGCGAGATCTCTGCACCTCTCTCGTACTGTTGAAAGTCACACAAGGGCCCTATATTCCTCAAAGAGTATCTTGCTGTGGTACCTCTTGCTTTCGTCCTAAGAGGGTAGGCTGGTGTGCTTAGCACCTTTGACTTCTGGCTGTTCGGCAGCCAAATTTAGAGCTAGAGCACACCCAGGGTTGTACAGCCTGCAGGATGCCCATCACAAAGGTGATTCCTGTAACAGCCTTAAAGAGATGTATTAATAGCAGTGCCTGGGAACCTGAATGTTGAAGGCCACAGTTTGCTTGTTAACTTTAGTTAACCATCAGGCAATATTGGTTAAGCCAAAGGAGACAGGAACTGGTTTTTTGCCTTCTGAAGGTCTGAATGAAAATCTACGTTTAATCTACTGCTGTGTGTAAACACACATTAGATTTGTGGGATTTATGGTTAGCCAAACACAACAGAAATAAACCAACTACGCTATAGGGACAGAGAAAGAGAGGAATAGTATCAAGCGCCTGTACTCAGCCTTCTTTAAAAACAGCGAGAACCTGAGGGGTCCTGAGATCATTTCACTGCTCAGGAAAGAATACACCTGGTACTGGGTGAAGCCAGCCACAGGGTTTGGCTAGGCACCTTCTTTCCCCAAAGCCTATAAATTGCTATTACTGATAATCTGCAGCTGAAAAACCAAGATTGCTCCTGAGTCACCCTACTTTCTGTCACGCATCCAGCAGGGAGTATGGCAACGCTGCTGTGGTCGACACTGCAGCTCGCTGCTTGGCTCTGCCCTCAATTCGAACACGGCTGCTCCGGAGGAGGCGTGGTGAACCATCCTAACTTAGGGAAATACCTCCTGGCAGAGAAGGGGTCTGTCTGAACTGGCAATGAAGTCCGTGATACAAGTTTTCATTTGTGAGCAAATCAGGATTTGAAAGCAACTGAAAATGGGAAATCAGAAATAAGATTGTGAGGTGCAAAAAACTAATTGCCAGATGCATGAGCTTCTGATTCCAGGAGACATCAAGGGACATACTTTACTGTATTAAAACGCACAAATTTGTATATATATACACATACGTATATGTAAAATGCTTCTCTCTCCATTTTCATGAGTAACAGCAGGGTGGGAAGCTTCCCCTAATTCATCATTTCTATTTCAATCTATTCTGAAGCTACTCGGTACTAAAATCAATTTAAAACCACTCAGCATTACAGCAACTAGGACTGAAATCCAATACATAAATCTAACAGGCTCCAAGATGAATTTTCCTACCATATCTACATTAAAGCAAAATTTCTCATGGGGAGTCTAGTTTATCAGTACCAGGCAGTCCTTCTATGATGAATAGTCAGTTCAAATTTAACAAGCAGGCAACTGGATCGCCCAAAAAAGCTGGGTCCCTGTGGTCAAAACAGCAATTTGGGGGAGTCCCAAGATCTGGAGTGCCACAGCTTTACCAGGGAATATGAATCATTTTGCATCTTAGCCAGATTTTGACTCTGCTATTTCTAAAAAGCTGGTGAAAGAATACAGAGCTTTCTGCTTTGGCCAGCTTAGTCTTCAGGATGTATCTTCTTGCTCCATCACAGTTTTATAGTTTCTTTTGAAAAAGCCACACTGGGGAAAAAAATTAAAAGAACTTATTAAGTCTTTTTGTATGCATTAGTTTTTGCTTTTTCTTAAAACAATTCAAGAAGCTTTTCCTTCTCGGGGTTGCAATAAGTGAATGAGTGAATGCAGAGTGCAGCAAGGTCTGACTTCTGACAGAGCTGTAAGCCTGAAGGGCTGCATCGTTCAAAACTTGTCAGAACATCCATGAACACTGCATAACATTCAAATGCTCCGCAAAGCACTTCAAAACCAGACTTGAGAGGTTATACTGCAGTGCTCGGAGCTGCTCTAAATGTAAGACCGAGGTTTTACCACAGGAAGCGGCAGATGCCCTTCAGTGCGCATTTGAAATAAATCGCTTTCATACTTAGAGAAATCTTAAAAAAAAAATGTTAAAACATCTAACAAAAATATTTCTGTTTTGCTGTGTGTGCATTAAGGATACCCACTTTCCAGAGGAGCAGGACAATGAACGCCAGCAAGAGAAGTCCACCCACGCAGCTTCCTATGATTACAGGCACGGGATCAATCACTTCGTCTTTCAGGAAGACAAGGGTGATCTGGAAGAGGAGCGAGGCCAGTTGTTTTGTTCTTAGTTAGCTCTTAACTGAGAAAGCTATATAGCTGGAGCTAGCATTCAACCTTTAAACTACGCTGGACGCACCATCAGTCTAACTGTGCAGGTACTTTGCCATACAACATGAAATCATTTTTTGCATTGCAAGCCTAGTCAAGGGAGTTAAATTTACTGAGTCTTCTTTAGCAGCTTGCAGCGATTACAATAGTCCCCAGTGACAAACTTTCGGGTTAA